TCATCAGCTACAAGTATCCTCCAGGGTTTGCACCCCACCTTGACTCAAAACCAAAGCTATCTTGTTTTCTTCATCACTGAAAAAGGGAAGTGTGGTGTGTGCGGTAGGGTGGAGTGTGTGGGAGGGATGGGGAGGGGGTGGGGAAGTACGAAGAAGGTTAGCTAATTGAGGGTTCTGGCTAGTTGGGATCCAGGTAGCAAAGCCATCAGTAAACACAAAATTAATGTCTGGAACCAGGCACATCTGATTCCTGGGAATAATGAGACAAGGAGACAAGGAGATCCTGCTACGGTCTGTCTTTGGTCTTCTTTATCTTATGTCATTTTGTCTAGGTGGCTGCTGGTTTGATGGTCTTCTCTGGGGAAAATCTGTATCAGCGTGTCTATCAAAAATTATGGTCCGTGAACTCATGGGATGGAATTTATTTTGATTAGATTCCATATCCACGCCCTTTCAACTCAAGCTTAGGGTGGATGTCAAAAATGAATAAGCTCTTACTTTCCTCTCCCTTAGACTTGTTTACCTGAATTTTCTTTTCTACAAAAACCTTTAATTCCAGTGTTTTTTTTTTTTTGGTATCTCAGCAGCTCCCCATGGCAACTGACTCAGAAACCTCTTTTCCTTTGCCCTGTTTTCCAATACCTAAGTGAAAAGCATGAGGATTTTCTTTCTAAGCTGGTTTGGAAAGTCCGGTGTGAGAATGAGTGGACTAATTTATATATATTGTACTTCAACAAATTCATTTTACCTCTTTTCAGTTACACCTTTTCCTTAAGCCAAATTATATATAATGGTTCTGCTATAGGGCCTCTGTAATAGACTTTATATATATATATTGGTATCTTAAGGAGAAAGTAGGATAATTTAGGACAGCAGTTTCTGAGCTTCTTGAAACTGTGGATCCTTATATACAACTCTGTAAGAACTCTAATTGCTGGTCAGCCCTAGGGTAAGGGCATAAAGGTAATGAAGAAGACCTAATAAAGTATGGCTACTGGGCCTTATAAAACTGTTGACTGTTCTTCAAGGCCAAATTTCTAGAAATGTAGAATAAAAGGCAAAAGCCAAAAACAGTAGGGCACAATGGACTAACTAGTGAATTCCATCCTGTGTGTTCTTCACAGGCCTATGGGTCACTCGCTAACCTGTCTGTGACTTATGGGTACAATAATACCCGTAAGTACAGAGATTTGGTGATAGGGTGATAAATGCTGCTTCACTTGTAGAATGTAAAACAGGCATCATAATAATCATAGGCCTTACAGCGGGAGAACGACCCTCTGTGGATTTCCTCTCAAAGCTTTCATTTTCTACTGTGCTTGAATCTATGGCAAGTCTACATTCCCTGGTTCCTGCCTACATGTCCACCTCCACTGATTAAGACCCTCCAGGAACCACAGTCAGGCACACAGCTCCAGGACTCTCCCCATATCAGTGCTCTGTGCGTGGACTGGTTTATGAATACCCATCTGGAGGAACTGGAGCAGCCCCACTGCTGAAGCGTGGGTTGCTCATACTTTCCTTCTCCCCAGTGAAACAGGTCTTCTACATGTGTATGGCATTTTGGTAGAGACCACAGTTGTTTAAGGCAAATTCCCTTGATGGCTTCTGACAATTGTGTCCTTACTCTGATAGGAAGCTCTTTCCTGGGACTGAAGCACACTTTGGTGGATCCCTTACTTTTGTTGTCTTCTAAAGGCCGCCCAAAGGGTAACAGGGATGAGGAAGGTATGAGGGACATATGATCTGTTCTTCCTGCACCCTCACAAACTGCAGCATCCTTATCAGGCACTAGCTAGTGATTCTGCACAGCATTCTTAGAAGGAAAGTTTTAAAAAATTATAGTAAAATATATACAACATAAAATTTACCATTGTACCCATTTTTAAGTGTGCATTTCAGTGGCATCAAATACAGTCACATTGTTGTGCAACCATCATCATCATTCATCTCCAGAACTCTCCAATCTTTCCAAACTGACACTTAATATCCACTGAACAACAACTTTCAATTTTTCCATTCTCCTATTTCCTGGCAACCACCATTCTACCTTCTGACTCTATAAATCTGACAGTTCTGGGTATCTCATATAAAAGGATATTTAATATTTGCCTTTTTGTGTTTGGCTTATTTCACTTAGCATCTTCGGGGTTCCTCCACATGGTAGCATGTGTCAGAATTTCATATCTTTTTAAAGACTGAATAATATTCCATTGTATGTATTAATATATACCACATTTTGTTTATCCATTCATCTGTTGATGGACACCTGGGTTGCTTCCACTTCTGGCTACTGTGAAATATGCTGCTATGAACATGGGTGTACATACATCCATCTGCTCAAATCCCTACTTTCATTTCTTCTGGTGTATACCCAGATGTGGAATTTGCTGGATCACTTGATAACCCTGTTTCATTTTTTTTTTTTTTGAGAAATTGCCATACTGTTTAGTATTTAACTTTTTAAATTAACAAACTTTATTTTAACGAGCAGTTTTAGGTTCACAGTAACACTGAGCAGAAAGTACACAAGTTTCCCACATGTCTCCCTGTCCCCCCCCGCCCCACAGATTCAGTTTTATAGATACCCTACCCACTCGGTGACTGAATGCTCTGTCCAAAGATAAAGGGAGTGATCCAGGCAGGTCCTGCAAGATCCAGCAGGAGCCGGAAGCCCTGATTCACCTAAGGAGTCCCAAGAGCTTCTTTCCTTCCTGACCTGTAGACAGGAAACTGACAGCAAAGGCTATCCCACAGGAATCCTGGATGTGTAAATGCAGAGATCCACAGAGTGGCAGAGCAGGAGAGGGTACTAAGGGGTATTTGATTCAATCTCCTCCTTTCACTTTAGTGAAGATGCCTCATAAACTGATCGCCTTCCTTCCAGGAATGTTGTGCAGAATAATTAGTGCTTGCTGGAAATAGTATATTTTTGGGGCTGGAGTAATAACAATTATATCACTCACAACTCTGTCAACCCTAATCCCAGCCCCATTACCGTTTGGGTTGCCCCCAGAAGGCACCCCTGGGTTAATTCCATTATAGATCTTTTAATACTTACTGCTTTTTGTCTTATTTTTCTGATATCGTGAGTTTTATTTTAAACACTTTAACAGAGCTACTGTGCATTTAAGTCTATCGCCAGGATTTTTGACTCTATTAATGTTGAAACAACACATTTGTGCTTTCATTACATATTTGCTTGGCAATTGCTTTATTAACAGTGATTATTCTCAATTCCAGAGAGTTATAAAAAGATAACTGTAAATCCTAAGTGCTACTTTGAATGATAACATTTACCACATCCAAGTAAAATGATATAAATCGCAGTGCTTATCCACAGATTCAAAATGCCCAGAAATTTCCCAAATGTTTCCCGGACATATCACTCATACTATTTTTACACTCACCTTGACTCAATGAAACAAAAGAAAAAATGCTGTTTAAAATTCCTACAATCAAAGCTTAGAAATATACAATGCATATATCTTTCACAGGCACACAGGTACATTGGTATGTAGGCTGACATGTGTCCAAGTGTGCATTTGTTTACTCAAACTCTTCTATTTTTTTCGATTAACATGGAATAAATTGTTCTTGTTCTTAGCAGTTAGGCAATGGGCCTGTTTGAAAGCTAACACCACGACATAATGATTTGCAAAGTTTGTCAGTCTTGAGAACTTAAAATCTCACCAAACCTGGACTTGCTGGCTTAGGTTATTCATTGGAGGTATGCTTCCCTTCCCACCTGTATTTTGTTTTTTTATTTTTAACTTCTGTGGGTACACAGTAAGTAGGTGTATATATCTGTGGGGTGCATGAGATGTTTTGATAGAGGCATGAAATATGAAATGAGCACATTATGGAGAATGGGGTATCCATCCCTTCAAGCATGTACCCTTTGAGTTACAAACAATCTCACTACACTCTTTCTTTTAAAATGTAAAATTATTATTTATAGTTATTGACTATAGTCACTCTGTTGTATTATCAAACAGTAGGTCATATTCATTCTTTCTGTTTTTTTTTGTAACTATTAACCATCCCACCTCCATGCCCTCCCTGCCTCCAACCTCCACTACCCTTCCCGGCCTATGGTAGCTATCCTTCTACTCTTTATGTCCAGGAGTTCAACTGTTTTGATTTTTAGATCCCACAAGTAAGTGAGAACATGTGATGTTTCTCTTTCTGCCCCACAAATTTTGTAAATCAAGTCACGTTTAAGTGTGTGAGGGGAGGGATAATGCTATGATGACTCACTCTGAAAGGGAACAACATATTTCCCAACCCAGGGGAAAAAAGATTTTCTCTTCTGAGTGTGTCTAAAAGCATGATCAGCACACCTGCAAAGTACTGTTGTTTTAGCCTAATAACAGCACTATTAGTCACACTTGTTGAAAACCAGGGGCAAAGAATGACTGGTACTAGCAGCCCTGGAGTAAAGCTGGCAGGGAATAATGGCTCCTACTGGGTTGGACTTCCAAATGTGAAGGTGCTAAGTGAACCTTAAAACTCTTTGCTGAGACACAAGTCAATGTATTAAGCAAAGCATTAAAATCCTTAATTGAACGATATTTATGACTCAAGTATATATGGTTTTCTGCCATTTTTCATCCTTTCAGGCACATGAGTTAAAGCAGTGATTCTCAAATTGGGGTCCCTGGACCAGCTGCATCAGCATCACTTGGAAACTTGTTAGAAAAGCAAATTCCTAGCCTGCACCAGATTTACTGAACCAGAAATCTGGACATGAGGCCCAGCAAGCTGTACTTTAACAAGCCCTCCAGGTGATTTTGATTCAAGCTGAAATTTAAGATCCACTGAGTTAAGAAACCACCAATATACAGATTCCAACCTTTGCTCCTTTGCTCAATGATAACTCTACAGCTCCTTTGTTAAAAGAAAAGTAATTCATGTGTGCTTGGGCTATTTGTTACTATCACTTAAGAAAATATTTATCATTTTTTAGTTAAGGAAAAGAAACCTTAGTCGAAACTTACATGTAATTTTTCCAGGTCCTGTGCTGGTGCTGGCTTCGAGTCTTAGGATGCAGGGAACTGGGCGAAGGGAAAGATGAGAAGGCTCCGGTAATCCATTCAGACATGGACCCCAAAGCTTTGTGGGGCAACCTTGTGACAGGTCAGTGAATGTCCACCTAATTGGGCAGAAAATGTTGTCCATTAGCAGACTAAAGTGTGCATGTGAATGTTTCCTTCCTCTTCCCTCCTGCTATCTTGCCATAATCCCTTCTGCTTGTTATGAACTCACGCAACTGTCTGTGCCTCTGGCTGTGGACCTCTTGACCAATCCTAATGACAGAATACGACACCATAGCCCGTAGTATGGACACCTGGGCTCTGCCTGGTGGAAGCCCTATTCCTTGAGGTACCTTCTTTTAGGTGAGCAGCCCTCACTAGGGGCTCTCCTGAATCCAAATGTGGCCTGGGAGACAGGTCCACGTCCAGTGATGTCACTTTCTCTATTTCATCTCATGTTTTCTGTCAGCAAATGAGAACACCTTGGTTTAAAAGACACATGTGGCCATTGTAAATAGAAGAGATTCAGGAAGCAAATGATTAATTTAGGGATTCTGACTGAAATGAGATGATTCTCTAATGCCTCAAATGTGTTTAGTTTTAAAATTAGTATTTATTTTTCCAGATAACTTAATACATGCTTACTGTAGAACATTTGAAACATCTGGAAAAAATAAAGGAAAAAAAATAAAGATCAATGGTAATCTTGACACCGATAAATCACTAATGATGTTTCATTGTATGGGTCTGAAACTCCTTCACTGAAACTCTTGGGGCCAGATATGTTTCAGAATTCAGAATTTTTTGGATTTTGGAGAGTATTATGATGCAGCTACCATTTATTACACTATTATCTTGTGATGGTATGGGGCAGCACCCTATAATATTAAATATTAAATATTTCTGCACAAAAATAGATGCTTATTCTTATTAAGTGGGGGTAAAACAGAGCTTCACATTAATTCAGGCCGTTTTCCTACCAAAGGAGTTACTAAAAACAAAACAAAACCCCCCTTGATTTCTGAAAACTTCCGGATTTAGAATTGGAGATAAGGGATTATGGACCAATATTCTTTTCAGATATATACACATACTCAGAGTATTGTTTCTACTTTTTCATTCAATTCTGAAAGAAAATGAGTTATATGAACGAGCATTTCCCCAAGTTATTAAAATTATTCAAAACATGCTTTTTAATGTTCATGTGTATTATACCCCATAGAAATACATTTTATGTATTTAACTGTTTCCGTCATTTTTGGAATGGCAGATTTTTTCTTTGTTATTGTAAATAACACTTTAAGGGACGTATCTGAGTATCAGATTGCCTAAATTTCTGAACATTTTCTTATGCAGTTTCCTAGAAAAGGAATTATTGCATGAAAGGGCATAAACTTTGAGGGCCCTGACTTTCTAGAAAGGTTGTACCAATTTATATTCTTTCCAGCAGCATGAATCCCTGGTTAATTTAATTACCAACTTTATCATAGACAGAAAAAATACACTTGGTCCTCATGCAACTTAACAAAAATCTAATCAATGACGACCAAATGTAAGGGATTTTATTTTTGTTTTCCTTACACAGAAGATAGTAAACTGCGTGCTGCTTTTCACATAACAAGAGACATATGGAGTTAATGTAAGTTTACCATCAAATGACCCTTATTAGGCCAGACTGAGTTAGATGTGGACAGTGGGGGAGCTGTGACTTGTCCATGAGGTCTTCACATGGAAAAGCATGTGAGAGAGTTCAGAAATAATTCATATATCATCATGAGAAGAAAAATCACTGATTACTTATGGGCTGATAATTCAGCTTCTAGAGTAGTGAGGCCTTATATTTCCCTTTCTTCTGGTATTTTTCTATTTCTTGGACATTCTGCTGTTCCTCAGCATCGCATCAGAAAGCACAAAAAGATGCAAAGACAAAATCCAATCAGACTAATAAGAATGACTAACCCTCACGCATGCTTACAGTTTGTCCACTCCAATGCCAGGTCCTTGTGTATAGTATTATCTCATTTAACAACACCAAGTGCACTGGTATCAAAACTAGTGGCTGGCAAGTTAGAAAGTATGTGTTCATTCATTGGTCCTCCTTATTCCCCAATAAGTTTGTAGGAATTTGAGCTTCAGAATTTCAAAGATCTATCCGAGCCTAGGATCTCATTACTATGCTGACTCCAAGTCTAGCTATAAATCACAAGCTTGATCTTTCCACTCTTTTGTCAGTACCATCTATAACATCTAAATGAGGTAAAGAAAATCCAAGGAAATTCTAGACAATAGTAAAGCCTTTGAATCTCCTATATTGAGATGGGGAAAGCTACAGCTCTTTGAGCACAATAGAGAGGTATGAGATAAGTGTTATGAAACACAAAACAGGTTAGACATGGAGAAAGACATGAAGACATAGATAAAATAAACACTTGAAAAAACAAAGATACACATTCTTCCCAAATGTGGCTATGAATTAGGAATGCTAAAGCAGGTCTTACAGTCCCAGGTTCCTTTAGATTTATGGGTTTTTCTAATCTTTCTCTTTCCCCTTTATGTATACTTAACCTTACAGGATAATTGGTATCGAGAATGCCATGATTTTCATATGCTAATAAAAGCAAATTGAAGTGAACTTTGTTATATTCAATGAAATAACCTCACTCTTTCACTTATGTATAAACTCAATTTCTGCATCCACTAATACTGTAAGATGGTTATGGTTTGAGAAACAGGGGGTGCAAAAAATTTCAATCTTATTTTGGGAATGAATTAGATTGATCTTTCCTAACAATCTTATCTAAAATTAAGGATTGTTTCTGTCAAAATTATCAAAAGACCAAAGAGAAGTGGACCATTTCCTTCCCTGTGGCTTTACTTCATAATTTAAGCATCATTTTCCTGATAATTTGGTGTCAAAGTGGGTAGAATACCCATTTATAAAAATGATTTTTCTTTGCCACATTCAGGTATATGACTAAGTTTTTAAGCATGCTAGAACTACAGGGTGTCAAAAACAAAATGATAATAGAAGAAATAACTCCTCAAAGAGTGTGCTTTGTTTCTTCCAAAGGGCCTAATTACTTCAGGGGAAATAAAAAAAACAAACCACCATTAATAATACACACGATTACCAGACTCTCCTTGGTTACGCAAACTACACAACTATCATGTAAATCTAATTACAAATTTGGGTTCCCTCATTTTAAAAATGTACTTTGAAGCAACCCACTTCTGTTTCAATGCTGAACCAAAGTCTGTGCAACTGGCACGCTGTCAAAGTAAATATATACATACACACACATCATTTGCACTTGAACAAAGTTATTACTTTCAATGTCACTAAATCATGAACTGCAAAACACAACAAGCTAAAAGCAAGTAATACCACATGGTATATTATCTTACATTTACAAAAGAGTTTATAGTTTTCCAAGCCCCAGTGACATAGACTTTCCCACTCACAGTAGCTTTGTCATGCAGGGCACCCCACTCACTGTCTCGGAGCCTACTACCTCTCACAGGTTCTTGTGGGGATCACATGAGAATGTATACAGAGTGCTTTTTTTTGCAGATTATAAGACTTACATAAAATATGAGCTATCTTTTTTTTTTTTAAAGAAACAACTTTGTGAGACATAAAGATACTAATCGGCATTTCATTGTCGGGGAAAAGAATACAAGAAGATGTAATAAAAAAAGCACCAAGTTAGAAGATCTGAGTTTATTTCTAAATTGGCTACAAACTAGCTGCCTGACTCTCTGAGATTTGATTTCTTCAGTAAAATGAAGGGGTTGAATGAAATGACTTTAAGATTTTCTCGAGGCCAATAGATCTGTGATGTAGGACGTGGCTATGGGAGTGCCTTAGGAAGTAATCCCTCCTGGAGGCCAAGGAACCTGAAGCCAAAGGTAGCATCCATCAATCTGAGGCCTGCAGTGCTGGTGCAGGGTCCTTGTCTCATCTCAGAGATGAGACAGACATTAACTAACTCATTTTGCTGGACTGTGGGGAGGTTGGGGGAATCCTAAAGGAATGGCCAAGGCCTCTTAGGCACTGGAAGGAAGTACCAGAGAAGCTTAAACCAGCAGGTCTTTATTAACTGGTACAGATACTTTATGACTTTAATAACTGGTAGAGCCAAATAAGTGTATAGCAGCTGACTGTTAATCTTGCTAACAGTTTTACTGTTGTTTGCCTGTCAATCTCAAAGAGACAGCCACCACTGAGGGCCAACCACGTTGCTTGGCTACGTTCCTACAGCATGGGGGGAGATGTGTAAGAGGGCTATTTTTGGTATTATGAGTGCACATCAGGGTCACATGGGAATTTTACTTTAAAAAGACACTAACTTAGGCCTCTACTAATGCTATTCTACTAGCATTATCTAACACAACTTTCTGTGATGATGGAAATATTCAGTATCTCTGCCGTCCAACATGGCAGCTACTTGCCACATGAGGATACTGAGCATTTGAAATGTACCTAGTGAGAATGAGGAATTGAATTTTTAACTTTAATCAATTTAAATTTAAATAGCAACATATCATTAGTTGTTATCTGACTGGACAGTACAGCCCTAGGTGGCTTCACATAATAGTTTTTTTGGACTTATTTCAGACCCCAGAAGCCCTCAGGATAATATCCAATATAGTCCTTCAACAGGTATTCACTGCCCTTCTCCTAGGTGCTGGGCAATGTTTAGGTGTCTCAAAACAATGGTGAATAAAAGTAGCATGGACATTTCCTGACTTGTGGCATTTTGCGGCTAGATTGATTTCCGAAGACCTCACAAAATCTTGAAGTGGCTCACCAGACTGCTCTTAGGAAAAGGTGGGTGAGGAGATATGGTAATGCTACACTAAGCATGAAAGCACTGCTTTTTCATTTCTTCATATTTACTGTTAGAGAAGTCGGGGGAAAGTTTAAAAAGAGGTATCTGAATGGTTACTATTCATTCTCTTACAAATAAAGTAACATATCCCAGATATGGGAAATTATCTGTAAGTAATTACCTCTTGCATGATCTTAAACTTACTTAAAAAGAAAAGTCAGAGGAACCTGCATTCTTAAGCTAAGTCAATGATATTCAATTACAGCTACAGCCATACAAAAAGTACA